CCATGCTTCAACTTCTTATTAGCTAGTGAGTTTTGTATGTGCCAGAGGTGTTTCAAATTTGATAAGGCCAATTCTTTACCACAGGTCTCTTTGTATTTACCACATTTCTCACCACTTTCCAATTCTGATTACTGCCCGATTATCCTCCAAACAAAATCCCCAATACTGCCTTAGGGGTTGTTGGTACTACCTTGCCAATCGCAGATTTATATGCACAACTTTTGTGTAATAGAACCTTCTGTACCAATTACTATTATACATAGTGCCAACTACTCTACAATGGACCTCTTTTCAGAAATTCCTAATCCATTCCTGTATTCACTTGGACTTCCCATGGCAGATACTTTCAAATATTTGTAGATAAATGTACCTACTAGGACTTGAACCCGAAACCCGCTTGTAGAGGGTTGGGTGCCTAGACCACTAGGCCACGGGATCCCAACCCTAGATTGTCTATCTGAAATAAATACATTATATAATTCATTAAAAAATTCTTTTAATAATAGTTTTGTATTTTTGACTATTTTTTAAAAATTATCTGGGTCTAATTTGAGTTCTTGATTTTCTTTTCTTTGCTTTTCATATAATATTTTTGTTATTAAAGCAATCTTATTACCAAAAGATAATGGTTTAGAAATTTTGATATCTGGTATATTATTAGTCAACAAAGCATCATGATTAGAAAATTTAGTGACAGGTGTTTTATTTTTATCATAGTGATTAGGTTTAACAATGATTAAATAGTAAGGATAATATAATTGCATTTCAACTTCTAAATAATTATATTAATTGATAATATCTTTTGCTTTTATTTTTGTTAAAGCATAATCTGTAATTCTACAAAATTAATTTGAATTTGTTTGACAATTATGAACTAAACAAGGACTATAATTTTTTTTTGAAGATATTGTACATGTATTTTTTAATACTAGATAAATAGCCAATTGTACAAAGATTTTTATAAATCAATGTTATTTTATTTAATGTGTTAATTGTGTTATTTTTTTATTTTTATTAGAAAATTTACAAAGATTAAATAGATTAATTGCATTCATTTTATATTTTAAATACAAGAAATACAAGAGTTTTTGTTATATTTTTCATTAGTATTAAATGGTGACAATATCATATCATATGATATTTTGTATAATATCTATGATTAGTTGATTATATAACTCTCAATCATTGATTGATTATGTTTGATAATCAAGCTTGATGTTATAGATTCAATTAAAAGTAAGTTAATTGATCAAGTGGTTGAAATTTGATTAATCAAAAAATTTACAAAAGTATCATTATAGTAGATTACTCAAGTAGGGAATTGACTTGACAAAAAAATTGTTAATAAATAATTAATCAAAAAAATTATTTTTAATAGCCATGATCCAATTGATACATAAATCCTATATAAGTTATCTGGGTGATTTACTATAATGATATCTGTAAATTTTTTTATTTTTTACTATACAAATTTTTTTAATTAATCAAATTTTAACTACTTGATTGATCAATATAATAGATTATTAATTGAATCACTTTTGATTGAGCCTGTAACATTAAGCTTGATCATCAAGCATAATAGATCAATGATTGAGAGTTATAATTAAAACAATTCACTAATATGAAATTATAAGTTAGTTATATGATATAATCATTTAATACTGTTTTCTTTACATATTAAAAACTTCTCTATTATTCTTTCTAGAAGCTATGATTGTGAATTAACAAGCTCTTTTCTTTTTCTTTTCTAATTTAGATTTCTGCTATACTTTTCTTTTTATACAAATTGCTTTTTGCTCATAGTACTTTGAGATTTGTAGTGCATTCTTGTCACATTTAGAATTCCTTTTTTCATAAAAGCATATAATAACTAACTTTTATTTTTAAAATATTTTTTATTAAAAAAAAGTTTTTTACAAATATTATATTTGATAATAATTTAATTTATTTTAAAAAACTAGTTGTAAACCTGTACAATAATACACAGGAATAAACTTATAAAATTTTTAAATATAATTTTAAAATAAAAGTTAATAAATTTGTAACTGCAGTTACTGTAACCACATTCAATAAAGCCAATCAAAATTTAAAATCAGGTGTAATGTGAAATCAAAACAAAAATTGATTTTTTAAAGAAATTATTAATAACTCAAAATTTTAATTATAAAACAATCCTTTATAGTCTAACAAAAAAAATTTCTTGCTAAATTTTGGTATAAACTATGGTTTTTTCCATTCCTAGCCTTACCTTAACCCTAACCTTAATTGCAAAGTTTTATTTATAAAAAAAAACTTATTTTGATAATTATATTACAT